CGTGGACCAGGAGAGGAAGAACACCAGCTGTTCTCTTGACCTATCTATCTGCAAGCTACAATGTTGCATTAATGAAAAAACTACACTGTGCTAGGCCCATTCCAGGACATGGATATGACCACACCCTCGCTCATCAGGGTGTCTCTATAGCAGGTTTTCATATTCTTTTCAAACAATGGTTTCTCTGCGTTTATTGTTGGAAAAAAAAAAAAAACAGGGTAAGAAAACTACCCATGCATGATGTAGAGAGCTGTTGATCTGTTTTTGTTTGTTTTTTTAAAAGGAAAACTATTTGTAAAATGTTGCACTAAAATGTTTTATATACACTTCAGAGACCTGTAGTAAATTATGTTGAAAATATGGCTGTTTACAGTTACTGGAGCCCACTGCATTTCTTTCTCTTCCCTTCCTTAACTGGCCTTTCTCCTCTGTGAAACTGTGCCCTCTGGGGCGGGGGGCGGGGGGAGGGCTTGGAGTTCTGCCTCTGGCATTGGCCTGTGAGGCTCACAAGGGTCCAGGATTGCAGCCTTTATTACCCTGCCCTGCCCCCAGCCTAAAGAGTGCCTTTGTACAAATGTTGAGGAAAAAAAAGTCTTTCTCTAGACACTTTACTGCCATCTGCTGAAAAGGTGTCATAATAAACGTACACAACTGCCTTGTCAAGGCCATGATGCCTCCAGATCTGAGCACACCCCACACAAATGGAGGCCCGACAGGCAGGTTCAAAATGCAGAGCTTGTGAACCAGCTTTCCTTTTTAGCGGAGCAGGGCAGGACAGGGATGCCTGGGTGGCTCAGCGGTCGAGCATCTGGCTCAGGACCGGATCATAGGATCCGGAGATCTAGTCCTGCATCGGGCTCCCCACAGGGGGCGTGCTTTTCCCTCTGCCTGTGTCTCTGCCTCTCTCACTGTGTCTCTCATGAATAAATAAAATATTTTTTTTAAAAAAGTATAGGCAGGTGTGATAGGAAGGGGCAGGAGGCTGATGGAGACACAGAGCAGGAACTGGGAACCACCTTCTTGGCCACAGAGGGCCTCCGCAACAAAGACCACACCATCCTTCCCCAAGGACAGAGAGTTGTCATGACCCTGGAATTGGCAGCAAGCATTCCCCAGGACCCGGGAGGGAGCAGGAGCTGTGCCTTCCTGCCCTGCACACCAGTCCACGTTTTCTGTACCACTCGAAGGCTGGCATGTTTCGGAGGAATTCTGCTTCTGCAAAGAGAGAAGGATAGAATGATTGAAACCCTGGCAGTTATTACGTTATTATGGAGAACCAATCTGTAATTCTTTACATTGCACAGAATATGCAAAAAATTGCAGCGGGTAAAAAGCAGAGGGAGGTGCTTTTCTCTTTCTTTCTTTCTTTTTTTTTTTTTTTTTTTTTTTTTTTTTTAAGAAATCAGACCTTTCAAAGGCTTTAACTCGTGCTTTCCTATGCTCTGCTGCATCCTTATCAACTTCTTGCAGCTGCTGGCTTGGCCAGGAGTCGAAATGTGATTGTTTATCTTTTGGCTGGCTATCCAGAATGGTACCATGTTAAGTCTTGCATATGACTTTTGCCTAATTTTTCTCCCAAATTCTCTCTTTCTGCCAGGGAAATGTTGTAAAAAGGGAAATGGAGCGTTGTGGAAGAAGATTCCTCATCTATGCCTTTGGTGTAAATCTGCCCTAGTGTTTATATAAGCAAAGTGAAGGTACATTTTTCACAAGAGGCAGGGGGCGGTTTCCATGTATGCAGGTTTAGGATCCGTGTTTTGCTCAGTTCATTCTGGGATTTTTAAGTTTCCTGGGGTGTAGTTCCAAGGTTGGCAAGAACTAGAGCCAGAATACCAGAAAGGAACCCTATGCCACATGAGCAGGCTGGATGATGAGCCCTCCTTTCTAAAGCTCTGGTTCATGATTATCTACAGTGACAAGCAGATAAGACTGGAGCTCTCAATATAGGCCAGAGGATGAAAAACACATCCACTCTCCTTTTGGGGGCAAGTCCTCAATATATGAATAGAGCCTCTTTGGCCCATTGCCCAACTTGGGTCTACCTTTTCAAGCCACTTTTGATTCATGAAGTCTGCTAGGCATATAAGCTCTCTTAAAAATGCTTGTAGAAGGGACAGCTGACTGGCTCAGTCGGTAGCATGTGTCACTCTTAATCCTGGGGTTCTGGGTTTCAGCCCCATGTTGAGTGTGGAGATTACTTTAAAAAATATTTTTTAAAAAATGCTTGATGCACAGCATTTCTCTTAATGAAAAAGCTGGCACTGTTCTGCTAGTCTTGGTCAGCAGAGCATCCAACCAAAGAAGACCTAATGAATCATTCTTTACTCGAAGGCTGGAGACCATGACCTGAGGCATACTTCTCAGCCCCATGTGACTGGGCAAAATTTTCCCCAGCCCTGCTCTGGAGATGGTTGACCGCTCCTGCTGGCTGGTCCAAACGACAGCATGGTTGCCTATCTGAAAGTTGCATCCTGTTCTGTATGACGGGGTAAGAGTCGTGCTTTGGATGTAGCTTTAGTTGGACTCCCAGTTTTGCTCCTTACTATGTGTCCTTGGGCAAGTCATGTATCTTCTCTGAGTCTCTGTTTTCTCATTTGTGAATTTAGGGACAGCAAGAAGATTAAATTAATTGGGGATAATGCACTTAATACAAGGCCTGACTTAGTAAGTGCTCAGCATATGTTTGCTGTTACATCATTTCTCAGTTTAAAAATATTCAGGGGCACTCTAGTGTCTAAAGTTTGACCCTATCCTACCTTTCTCAGTTGGCCTGAGTTCCTACTAGCCCATGGCAGAGCAGAAACTTGATTTTCTCCCATTTTGTGCTATACACTGCACCTGCCTCATGTTCCAGTATCTACAGATGGTAGGGATGTTTTAAGGTAGGATACTTCATGCATGGTACATGACGTTTGTCCCCCAAATTTCATTGATAGAGATACCTTTAAGATTTAAGGTTATTATTATTATTATTTTTTTTTGGTAGGCTCCACACCCAGCATGGAGCCCAACACAGGGCTTGAACTCAACAATGCTGCATCAAGACCTGAGTTGAGATCAAGAGTTGGGTGCTCTAGGTGCCCCTAGATAAAGTTAAGATTTTTTTGGCTGACTTAAGAACTAATGAATCCTTACAGTATAGTTCAGATGTCTTGAGTAGTTTGGGGATCCTGGCTTGAGGATGATGGAGATGACAGCAACAATATGGCAATTTCCCCTCTGTTTCACAACTGACAGGTTGGTGTTTATTAGGACAGCAGGATATCCTGTTCACTGGAAGAGCTTCAGAGTTCCCTTAGCTCCCACAGCTGGGCAGGAGCAAGTCATGTGCTTCTCTCTGAAAGGGGACAGACAGGAAGGCATGTGGGGAGCTGGTTCTGGGAGTTCTTTGACAAATTTGACAGACAAGCCAATCAAGAATTCTAACCACACCACCACTAGGCTAGGGGGCGCCTGGGTGGTTCGGTGGGTTAAACGTCTGAGGTGGGCCCAGGTCAAGATCCCCGAGTCCTGGGCTGGAGCCCCACATTCTGGCTCCCTGCTCGGCGGGGAGTCTACTTCTCTCTCTGCCCCTTCCGCGGCTCATACTCTTTCTCTAATAAGTAAATAAAATCTTTTTTTTTTTTTTAAAGAAGATTAAGCACTAGGATGGTGTGTCCAGGTGCCTGTTGCAGTTGAGGTGGGGGGTTTTGGGGGGAGGCCCAACGGTGCGGAGCGACTAGACCCCACTTCTCAGCTTAAAGGAAAGCCCACAGCTGAGTTGGAGGAAGAGGAAAACAAAGAGGAAATTGAGAAGGGAGAAACCCAAGGCTAGGACCCCCAGCTCTGGGGAAGGTAGTGTTGGGCAGCCTTAAGGAAAATGTGGCCTGGACCGGAGTGACACCGGCGGGACCGGCTGCACCAGGTAATCAGGCACGTTCTAGCAGTTGCCCCCAATGCCCGGTTTGCTTTCGCTCTACTCCCGCTGGACGGTGACTGACAGGAGAAGCCGACTCCGGGGGGCGGGGGGCCGGCGGCTGCGGCCGCTGCTCCAAGCGCCGCAGGAAGCCTTGGCAGCCCCTCGGTGCCTGGGCAGAGTTCCCGTGGCACCTGGGGGCCAGCTTCGCGGGGGCGGTGAGCGCGGCATCCCCGGCTACGGGGGCCTCCGTCACGTCCCAAACGTGCAGGGAAAGTGCCGGAGGAGCGCGAGGAACGGAGACGAGCCACGGGGCGCGCGCGGTTAAGCGTCTGCCTTCAGCAGGTCGTGATCCTGGGGTTCTGGGGTCGAGCCCCGCGTCGGGCTCCCTGCTTGGCGTGGAGCCTGCTCTCCCTCTCCTACTCCCCCTGCCTGTGCTCTCTCTCTGTGTCAAATAAATAAAATTTAAAAATTCAAGAATAAATAAATAAAAACGTAAGCCACTTTGGAGGAGGAGCTCCGCAGAGCAGACTGGTGGCAGCGGAACGACTCTGGGGTCCGGGTGGGCGCGCGACCGCATTGCGGGGAGAGGAAGCAGGCGCGGGGGCGCCGCGGGGCCGCCGCTGGACCAGCTCAGACCCGGGGGCGCGGCCCGAGGCCGGGGCGGGGGGCGGGGCGGAGGCGGGGCGGGGGCCGAGCCCCGGTCGGGGGCGGGGCGGGGGCGGGACCGAGCCCGGGGCGGGGGCCGGGGCCGGGCCCGGGGGGGGCGGGGCCGGGCCCGGGGGGCGGGGCGGGGCGGGGGGCCGGGGCGGGAGCCGAGGCCGGGTTGGAGCGGGGGGCAAGACCCGGGGCGGGGGCCGAAGCCGGGCGGCGCGAGGCCGGGTGGGGCGGGGGCGGGGCAGGGGGCCGGGACCGGGGGGCCGAGCCCGGGGCGGGGGGCGGGGGGTGGGGCGGGGGCGGGGCAGGGGGCCGGGGCCGGGCCCGGGGTGGGGGGCGGGGCGGGGGGGCCGGGGCGGGAGCCGAGGCCGGGTGGGGCGGGGGCGGGGCCGGGACAGGGCGCGAGGCCGAGCGGGGCGGGGCGGAGTCCGGGGCGGGGCCCGAGTTTGAGGCCCCCGCCACCCGGGAACCAATCGCCCGGGCTCAGTCCTGCCGAGAGGCCTGCCGGCCGCGCCATGGCCGCAGGGAGAGCCCGGGGCGCGGCGGCGGGGGTGCTGTGCGCGATCTGCCTGGTGCTCCAGTTCGGTGAGTGGAGGCCTTCCCGGGCTCTCCGGGGACGGGGCCGCGCCGGGGGCGTCGGTGGCCTCGGGGCTCCGCGGCCGGGCGGGCGCACCGGGGCGAGGCGGCTCAGCTGGACTGGAGACCAGAAGCGCAGCCCGCGGGACGAGGCGGGCCCTTGTCCGGCCGACTTGGCGCTTCAAGCCTCCCGGGAGTTGTCGGGAAGCAGCTCCGACCTTAGGCACGCGCCTCGTCGTTGGGAGGAGGGGCGGGACTCGGCTCGGGGCAGGGTCCGACCCCCGTCGTGCCCGCTCGGGGTTCCTCCGGAAGGGTGTGCCTTGGCTGACGTATCAGTGACTCTGAGTCGCTTGTGGCTCCCCCCGCCCCGCCGTCCCCAGGGGACCGCCGCCAAGCCCTCGGACGGCCCTTTCACTGCTTCCGCAGGGGCTGAGCTCTCCCAGGACCGGCCCCGGCCCCGGCCCCGGCCCCGGCCCCGGCCCCGGCCCCGGGTCGCACCTGCGCAGAGGACGCGGTTATCCGCCGCGCGCCCCGTGCGGAGGCGGGCGCAGGAGCGCGACTGCAGCCTGGGGCCGGGGCCCCGCCGCCCCCCCGAGCCCCCCGTCCCCCCCCCTTCACCCCCGCCGCCCTCGTCCCCCTCCACCGCCCCCCCTGCTCCCCGCGCCCCCCCGCCGCGCCCGCCTCTGCGCCGCTCCTGCGGGCCGAGAACCCAGCCTGGGTCAGCGACCCGCCGAGGGAAATGTCTGAATCTTTCCGGGGTCCTGAGCGGGGCGGCTGGTGCTCCTTTGCCCTCCCTTGGAAACGTCAAAGAACTCCACGTGTCTAGAACGGAGTTCATCCTTTTCCCACTCCTTCAGCCAAATAAACAGGCCCGTGAAAAAAGTGCCCGTCTCCCTTTTTGCGCCCCCCCCCAAAGCCCTGCACACAGAGTCATAGCCAAACTCTTGGAGGGAGCATAGTACTAAACCCTTCACTACTTCTTCTTTCCTTGAGGGTTTCCTGTTGGGGCCCGCCTTGCACATGCTACAGATCAACCTTGCATCCTCATTTCTGCCTCAGCTTCCGTGGAGTGCTGTGGACCCGCGTCTGCGGAGGACAGCCTAGCGGGTTGGGGTTCAGAGATAGCACAAGTGCCTACAGTATAAGGCACAGAAGTAAATGGAAGTCACGCTGAGCATAAAATGCGATGGTGGTGCACAGGGAGGGGACCAAGGTCTCTTGTGAAGTCAAGTATTTCTTGTAAAGCAAAGATTCCATGGAAGGAAGGATATTTGAACCTGGCCTCTGAGGATGGGTGGCGGTGTGGGCGTGCCATGATGTGGGGAAAAGATTCCCAGAGGTGGAAAAGACAGGGAAGCAGCATCTACAAGGTGAACCTGGGCAGTGAAGAGTCCCAGTCCCAGGGTCTCCAATGTCACTGGAGCATAAATGTGCCCATAGGAGCTGGAGGCCCCACGGCAGAGCCCTGATCCAAGCCCCATTGAGAGTGTGGATTATCTTCTGCAGGCAGAGAATTCTTTCTGGGCCTCACAGAATCAGAACCGTGCATTGAGGAGGAATAATCTGGCAGCAGTACAGAGGAAAGGTTGCAGCTGAGAGTAATTGGAGGCACAGATGCCATCACAGGACCCAAAGAGCTCTGAGGCTTTCCTATGCCGGTGGAAAGTCCTGTGAGCCTGGCTTGTCTTGGAAGAGAGAGAGTACCACTCACTGGTGAGGAAGGGTAATAATAGTGTGTACTTCCTAGAATGTGAACCTCAGTCACGAACACGTTCTTACTGAGTGTCAACTATGTGTTGGGCACTGGACGTGAGACCTGGGCTGCAACAAGGAACACACTTCCCTGCTTTTGTGAAGTTTACATAGTATTGGGGGAGAGAATCAGTAACTGAATAAATGAGTAAATATGTACATCTTGGGTGGTGGTAAACATTTACTAATAACAGATTAGTAATTTGGAGGAAAGGGGAGTGGGCACAATTCGTATTTCCTTTTAATTCTTTAAAACTTTGGAATGTTGGAAATCTTTAGAACAGTTGCAAAAAATAGTGTGACAAACACTAACTTTTCTCCTGGAATCCCCAGTTACTAACATTTTTGACACGTTTGGTTTACTTCTCTCTGTTTATACACACTTAATTTTTTTGTCTAAACATTTGAGAGTTGCAGATCTTATGACACCTCACCCTTAAATATTTCAGCATATGTTTTCTAAGAACAACATGTCTCCAGTAAGCCATGGAACCATGATCACAATCAGGAAACGCACCATTGATACAATACTGTTTTGTGATAGAGTCTATAGGCTGATCCAGGATCACACACTATATTTGGTAGTACTGCCTCTTTAATCCCCCTTTAGTCTAAAACTTGCCAACTCTTTTTTTTTTTTTTTTTGGTACTTATGGTATCACTATTTTTCAAAGGTCTAAATCAGTTTTATAGAATGTCCCTCAATTTGGATGATCTGTTTCCTTCTGATTACATTCTGGTTAAAACTTTCAGGACTGTTCCATAAGTGTGTCTTGTCCTTCTCTGTGCATCCCATTGGAGAGTAGATGCAGTCCATTTGTCCCATTATTGGAGACCTTAACTTTGGTTCTTTGGTGAAGGTGACCCACCAGATTTCTTTATCACAGAGGCACCTGTTCCCCTTTATAAATTATATGTGGCTTATCAAGTGACACTTTGAGATTGTGTGACTCTCCTGTGCCGTGACAATCTCTCACCTGGTGTTTTAGCATCCACTGGTGATTCTTACCCAAGTCCATTAAAATATTTGTAGATGGCGGGCACCTGGGTGGCTCAGCAGTTGAGCATCTGTCTTCGGCTCAGGTCATGATCCCGGGGTCCTGCGATCAAGTCTCACATCAGGATCCCCACAGGGAGCCTGCTTCTCCCTCTGCCTATGTCTCTGCCTCTCTCTGTGTGTCTTTCATGAATAAATAAGTGAAATTTAAATAAAATAAAATATTTGTATTTGGCAGTTTCCTCTCCCTAGTTTTCTTTCTACAATATGGACATTCTTCAGTAATGAAGAGCTTTTGTACCCCCTTTTAATTTTTTTTTAATATAAGTATGGAGCTATGATATTTCTGAAGACGATATTTTTGTCATCTATTTTAATGTGTGGTGGGTGATCCAGACTTGGGCAAACGGGGACCCCTCTGTGCTTCAGTGTTCTTTGCCATGTCTCCATCTATTTGAGAATGTCCTACTTTTTGGCACAGAAAGACGTTCTGGACTTATTTTGTACCTTTTCTGTCTCAGCCTGTAATCATTAGATTCCCTTGTTCCTTTTAGTGGGAGATGGGCTTTAGAAATCAGTATCTGGGTGCTAGTGCTCAGAGCTACAGGAGTCATGGTTTCTAGGCTATTAGTTCTTATAGCTAGGAAAGAGAGTTTTTACGAAGTCACAAGTCTACCCTGTTACCGCTAAAACTAATCTAAACATGTGGTTCATCTTTCTCTTCCTTCATTCCCTGTTTCTATCTCCCTTTGCCACAGTGAGAACTCTGTTCCTTGTAGAATCAGTGTATTTTCCTAATATACATTAAAACACAAAATAGTTTCATAATTGCTGTACCAGGACCACTACCAAGCACAAAATTTACCATGTAAAGTTCAAAGTTTCTTCACAGTTCTTTTTATTCTTCCATATATCCCACTGAATATGTACAGAATACTGTCTTTTAAAGTTACTTGGATTATTATTTTTTCCTTCTGGATGGTTAGGCTATCAATTAAAAATATAGTGACATTAATTTGTTTCTATTCAATTTTAGGGTTTCTTCCCTTGATTTGATTTTTAAATATGTAAAATATTAATATGATTCCAATCAAACCACATAAAAAGATATACTCAGAGAAATCCTATTCCTACCCTCTCCCTCTGTCCTAACAGGTACTATTTGTTTCTTGTTTTCTTTTTGTAGATACAAACAGATATGCAACAATAGTAACATACTCTATGCACTCTTTTGAACCTTGTTTTTGTGTCTTAACCATATGTCTGGATAACCATTCCATATCAGTTCAGAGATCATCCTCATTCCTTTTTTTTTTTTATAGCTACGTACTACTCCATGATATTTCATTAAGCCACCCTACTCTCTAGTGGTTAGTGTCCTATACCGTGTAGTCAGGAGAGGGTCTCCTGGACCAAGCAACTGTCTGGGGCCGTAGTACTCCTGGCAGAGAAGCTAACAGCAAAAACCCTGAGACAGGCTTCGGGCATTTAAAGAACTTCAAGGAGGCCATGGTACCAGAAAGTAGTAGGAAATGAAGTTGTAAACACAGGGCTAGGTCCTAGAGATAAAGTTTGGTGGGCCCTTTTAAAGACTGCGTCTTTTTTTACTCCTAGCAAAATGGGACATTTTGGAGGATTTTGAACAGGAGTGAAATTACAATGACTGGAGCGTGTACATGAATTATTCTGGCAGCTTCGTGGAGAACAGTCTGTAGAGAGGGGAAAGGAGGAGCAGGGAGACCAAGTGGTGAGGCCGTAGGAACAACACAGGTAAGAAATGACTACAAAAGAGAGCGGGACAGAATGAGAGGTAGTGGGTATGTTTGGAAGGTAGAGCCAGCCTGCTGTGCATCATCGGGACACCACGTGGACAGAGCAAAGCAGTGCCAGGCAGATGGCAAAGCTGAGTGAGACCTGTTGTGTTAGTTCTGTTTAGCAGAGCCTATCTTATTCTGCTACTGTTTTTTATAGTTCCTTTATCTTGTCAGCTATCTCCCCAGCTAGATTTTCTTTCCTTGTATGCAGAGGCAAAGCCATAAACTCCTTCTTAAAAAGGTCCTTTCATTGATTTGTCTTATTGGTTTTTGTTTTTGTTGTTGTTAACAAGACAGAGTGTTAAATCTGGACATTAGGTGATACGGTGTTTGTCAAGCTTTTCTCCATTTTAAGTTATTAGGTTATCTCACATTATTATGTGAGATTTGTTCATGTTTTTTGCTACAACCAAGACTCAAAGAGTCTATGTTTTTATTTAGGAAGT